GTCTCCCCTAACCTGAGGAACCCTTAGGATGGGTACCTCACACATCACCCAGGGTTAAGGCAGCAGTCACACACACACACACACACACACACACACACACACACACACACACTTTTATAGCCAAGTGTCTGATAGGCATTCAATAAATCCATTATAGGAATGTGCTTGACTTCCTTACAGATTATAGACTTCTCAGTGCCAAGAGCCCCCATAGGCCACATCTCTGCAGCATCTAGCAGAGGTATATCCCATCTGTCAGTCAAGCATTTTTATGCTGTTGGCAAAATACAGAGCTAACTCTGATCAAAGGATTTACAGCCTTTTCCTCCGGTCTATTCTATTTGCCCTGAGGAAACTTCTACCCTCCACACTACCACAATAGTCCTCTGTGCCTCCCCTTGCTGGGCTCTGCTTTAGGCCACATCAATGGACTTTCTGTTTCACTGGACTGTGAGCTGCCTGAGGCCAAATGTCTCTTCAGTCAAGGCTAACGATGTAGTGAACACTCACTAAATAATTCTTGATACTTTAATTCAAACAACTTTTCCCTCGAGTTCTTATGCTTACATAGGAATTGTTTAAAAGGAACAAAAAACACTAAGATTCAGCGCCTAGTTTGAGGGACCCTGACTTGGTGGTGTGTCAGTCTCATTACATTTTGTTCATTTGAAGAAAGCAGACCTTTTACTGGCAAAGACTAAAACACCTAGGATTGAAGGGAAAGGACACAATTATTTCATAAGTTACTATAGGGTCGTAAAAGCACACTCTAGAAGTTTCTAGTTAGGAGCTCTTTCCTGCAAACAACTCCTTTTTACTTTAGTTTGGGGCATAGTTTATTATAAAAGATTAATTACTTTCACGGACTCTTTTAATTACAAAGTTTTAACTTATGGAAGACCTTGGTTAATCAGACAAGGACAGAAGCAACAATGACTCTTTGGTGAAGTCACCTGTGGAAAAATAGGTATTTTCCACCTTTCAACAAATAGCACATCCTAGGCAGGTATATAAAGTTTTTGTTCATTTATAGAAGGAGACCAGGTAACTTGTTTGCTTTGGTTTTTAAGAGCGTACCAAGTTGGGTTGGTACTATGTAGCCCAATGGCCTTAAACTCAAAGTAATCCTCCTGCCCCAATCTTGTTTAATAGTTTTTAAAGAAATTTACTAAATTGACAGAAGTTAGAGGCATATTGTATACATATACTTGTGTACTTATTTACAATTAGCTCATAGATTTTTTTATGAATTTTATTAATGTGACATGCACACGCACTTGTGTGTGTGTGCGTGTGTGCATGTGCATGTGTGTGTAGATAGGTGTGTACATGTCACAGCACTCATGTGGTCAGAGATAAACTTTCAGAAGTCAATTTTCTTCTTCCTTGGGTTTCAGAGATCAAATCCAGGATGTCAGGCGTGGGTGACAAGCGCCTATTGAGCCACCACTGACTCATAATTGGATTTTTTTTCAAGCCATGTTTAAATTATGTTATAAAAGAACAACTAAGCAAAAATCAAAAGAATACCTGACTGCAGTTATTACTGAGGTCTTCAACAAATGGCGCAATTTTAAGATTGTGTCCGGCTACTTCATATCGCTAAGCACTGTGATTTAAGTGACTCAGACTCCCTCTTAAAGAATATGTGTGATAAGTAACAGATCTCTCTGAGGCCTTAAATGTTTTCCCCGATGCTATCATCTGAGCAAATACCATGTACCAGGTAGTAATTATTTTTCCTAGTGCCGGAGACTGTCAATGCTCGATCACTAAACCACAGCCCCGGGTTTATAATCACTATTTCTAACCATTTACTTATTTAACAAATATCAACCTAACACCCACTGTATGGATATGGACCAGATATTAGTTCATCCTTCTAATAGATTATAAACTATAAAAGGCACCTCTGTAGGATGGGTAATGGCCTTTATTTTACAGATGAAGGAATTGAGGCCTAATGGAGACACGGCTGTCATCAATGCTCTTTCCAGCAAACAGCTGCCTTTCTCCACTCTTCCCACTTGGTTTAACTTACTCATCTCATTTCATGAACTACAACAGTTGTGAAAACAGATTGAAAGAGCCTGTAGTGGGAAGGCTAAAGGTCTTGCTTAAAAGTCACTGCTCTCAAATCTTCTGCTAATATAAAAAGCAAATGTTACTATTCCAGTTGTTTGGGATTAGAAGAAAGAGGCCTGGAAATGCACATATCTAAGAGGAGGAAAGCAGAAGGCTCATAAGCCTGTGAGATGTGCAGCTTGAGGGATTTGTTGCTTCTCCTGCTGATCGTCATAGGAAGGGGAGCAGACAGTAGGGGAGAGCTTTGCCAGACCTTGTCTTCAGCATGCACCTTTGCTTTCTTTGGCTCTGCCTGCACAGGACTGCTGCAGTTAATTATGAGGTGTAGTTCTGAACCAACACAGAAAGATGGCAACTGCACCCTTCCTTTTGCTTCCTTCTTCTCAGCTATTTCTTCCACCTGACAAGACGGGATTCCTCACAGCAGTAGTGGAAATACAGCTAAAGGCACAACACCCCAGGAAGAGACTAAGGGCAGCACCTAACTGGTCCTTTGTCATGGTTCTACAAAATGCGTTGCTTTACACTAGCGTTGTACAGCCAGCCATTCACACTATTAACTACCCCTTACAGCCCTATGTTATCTTCCTAAAGCACTGACCAATGTCTCTTCCTTCTGCAGACTGAAGGCCTCTGCAGACTGTAGAGTTTACAGAGGGAAGCTCAAATACCTAAGATACAAGAATGCCTGTCAGTCTGAACCTAACCCCACCTACTCCTTCCAGCTCTTATCTTTCTACACCAGAGGCAGCCATAAGTCCCTGTGCAGGCTGTGATCTTGCAGACCTCCACACCTCTGCACAAACTCCTGTGCTGTTAAGCAATATCCCTTCCCTCTTTCTAGCTACAGAAAGTAAGCTCATTTATTAAGACCCCAAGAAAATGATTTCTCCTCAGCAAAAGCTCCACTCCTCTTTCAAACGGTCTTGGTAGCCCTCCTGTTTCCACATTTGCATGCATTTTTTTAATAGTATTAAAATAACGAATTGTAGTTATTCAGACTTTGCAAGGTGAATCTCTAAACGTTATTTTTTTCCCTTACACAAGCCCCTCTAAAATCGCCCATCTTCCTGGCTGGTATAAAGCAAGGCTTCAGTAAAATGTCTCTTACCAGAGTCAGTGCTGTAGAGCAGAAACCACACATTGATAAGTGATGCAATTATTTCATACTAGTTTATTTTAGATATTGTGCTTCAAAAACTTTATCATAAATAACTTTTCATATCATAAAATAACTTAGTACGATTTATAATAAAACTTCTGAGAATTTAACCTCTCATCAAAATACATTAACCTGTGGCTTTAAAATACAATTAATCCTTTTCACTTTCCTTTTACTCGAGGGCATAAAGACAAAGAGAAAACAAACAAACAAACAAAACACCAAACTACTGCTACACATTTAAGGTTTCAACAAAGCAATATTTGGCTTATTTCAATGTAACTCGGCCATCCTAAATTAATAGTTTTCTTTCTTGCACAGTTCTTTGTAGTTTTTGTCCCTTTTGACGTAGAGTTCTGCTTCAACACAGCTTCCTTCTTTATTTTCACCTCTGTCCATCTGCAGAGTCATCTCCTAGCCCCCATGTAGTTGAACTCACTCAGTCCCTTGACATCAGTTTCTGTAATCCTTGCATCAGCGTAGGGAGTAACTGCTTGAGTAACTACAAAGGTATTTCAAAACTTCAGTGCAATTTGGTTCAGTTATTTCCATTCAGATGCCATCACCGTTCCGGGAGGTTAATCACTGGAACCCACTGATCCATGTAGCGACTTTCCCGGCAAAAGCAAATAAGTTGACTTAAGGCAGGATCCTTCCATTGTGATGAATGTGGGTTCTGAGAACAAACAAAGAAAAATTATTTCCCCATAAAAATGATCAGCTTATGCTACTAATAGTACTACTTTTGAAAGGGTCAAAACCTGAACATTGTTAAACAGCATTTGGCAAAGTCCAAACACCTTTATAATACACACTGAGCCACACAGAGTTTTGCATAATTATCTGTACCACTCTGCAAGAGGTTATCATTCACAAGTCCGCCCTAACCAAGCATGCACGCCAGTGGGGACATAAGTAAAATAGTTCTGAAAAACATTCTGTGAGCACAGCTGGGAGAGCACCAGGGAAGGCAGCTAAACACCAGTTCTTATCTTCCCTGACGGTGCAGGGCACTTTTCACTGGTAGCAAAAGTAATCAGGCTGCCACTTCCCTACAACACCGGCACCGGTCAAAACAGAAAAAAGGAAAAAAAAAAAAAAAAAAAAAAAAAAAAAACCAAAACGGAAGAAGACCAGGACAGCACATTTCTCTCTGAAAACACTATTCATCCCAGACATTTTTAAAGGGGTAGATGAGTGAAGAGGGACCATCTAAACAAGCACAAAGGTGCAGAGAAAAGAATTCCACTCTGTACACTCCAGAGTATCTCTAGGGAATTAATAAGGTCTGTCTGTCTCCTACACTCTTTCTATATTTAGCTTTGACAGCAAATGAAGAATGAAACTGACTTCTTAATGAAGGGTGAGCCGGGAATTTATTTGGCTTTATCTAATCTGTCCTGCTCAAAGAATTAGTCACGCGAGGTAGTGCAGAGGTAGGCAGGGGTAGCCGGGCAGCCTGCTGACTCACAGGGATATCTTCCGCCGCTGGAGGCCACCCACGAGCTTAGACACGCTCGGTACCATCAGAACCCCCGCGAGATCAGCGTCCAGCACGGCCGAGGTCCACCCCAGTAAATTCCGGGCTGCAGTCCCGAGTCCCTTACCGTCACCAGCACGCAGTGCAGGTCAGGGGGCTGCGCCGCACCCCCGTTCTCCGCCTGACTCGTATCGGTCTCCAGCAGTAGTAGCTCAGCCAGCCGGCCCGGGTTGCTGACCCGCAGGATGTTGATGTCGTTCTCGCAGCAGAACGCCTGGATGAGGGTGAAGTGGATCTGCAGAGCCACGTCCCTGTCGTCGTCCTCGTCCGCGGCCAGCAGGCACAGTACCACGTTGTCGGGGTCGCTAGGGGCAGGAGGCAGCGGTGAGTGCACACGCTCCAGGGAGCGAGAGATAGAGGCGGCGGGCGGACGGGAGGCGGGGGTCACTTACACATTGAGCAGCTTGGCGGCCTCGTACACGCCGACGGTGATGGTGCGCTGACTCCGCGCCTTGCTAAGCACTTCCTCCAGGGCATCTCCTACCGTGTCCATCCTGCAGATGGACGGGGCGAGAGCGGGTCAGCCGGGTCCCCGGCCGCGGGAGGGGCAGCGGTCCCCGAGTCCGCAGGCACACTTACCTTTCGGTCTTCTGCTCTGCCGCCGAGAATTCCTCCAAAGTCATATTGCAAGTGCGAGTCCCTCACGTGGCGCGCGGGCTGCTCCTGCCCCCCCAGTGCGCGGCGCCGGCTCTGCGCTTGCTCCCACCCGCCCGCTTCGCTCGCTAAGTCTCCGCAGCTGACGACCGCACTGCTGCCTCTGGGCCACTGGAGGACAAAGGGCCCGATTCCCCAGTTATGGGGCTACCCCTCAGCCAATCACGGCCGGCCTCATTTGCATGCCACACAGCCATTGGCTTATGCAAATTAGCAGACTTTGACTCTCAGACCCCGGCTCCCCTAGCCGAGGCCGAGTGGAGCGGAAGAGGGCGGAGCTACGCGGGAGGGAAGCCCACGGGACGAGAGTGGTGCAGAAACCGGGTTGGTGGGGTCCTGAGCCAGCTCGGGGAGTTGGTGGAGCCATCTGGTGCGGAGGGCTTTGCAGGGGTTCAAGTGTCCTCAGCTCGGACTGGAACAGCCTGCCTATTGTTTTTCTAGTTGTGGACATCTTTTGATTGACGTTTCGTGTCGTTTGTGTGAAGGGGCTGCTTTTAAATTGTTTCCAGGGTCAATGCACCCGGGGCCTAGCCATCATTAGTAAGCGGATTATATTTTAAAAAATGTCCAGATGTGCCAGGCAGCGTTTGCTTCAGAGGTGGTGTTTCTATGTAAGTTTCAGGCAATGCTTATTCACAGTAGTATTCTTTTGGTGCCCTGATGGCTGGCTTGATTTATTTTTAGTGGGTCGCAAGAATTTGAAGCACCAAAGAGAAAACCCAGCACATTGGTGTGTAGTGATGGCACAGTCTCAAGTTGGAATCTTTGCCGCAAAAAAAAAAAAAAAAAAAAAAAATAGCTGGAAAAATTTCTGCCCACTCCATGTAAGGTGGGGGCAAGTTGGTGACCTCAAACCTTATGAGCCAAATTCACCTGATTCTGAAAATCTTTCCCAAAGGTGCCTTCTGATCCAGTCAGAGCTGAGACAAATGATGGTACTCACAGGAGCCACAGTCTAAATTCAAAGTGCTGATGCCATTCCCTGAGCTTCCCTTCAGAGGCAGGAGAGGATGACAGACAGTGCCTTCCTTCCACTGCCTATGATCTCACTCTGAATTACTGACGCTGAATCATGAAACTGTAACCATAGAACATTTTAGCCATGTGCTAAAATTTCACCTTTGAGATAATGGCAACTTGTAGGTTGGAAGGCAGACCTTCATAACTGCAAACAGGAGTCACACATTAAAAGCAATTCTTAATGCAGACTTTTACTGAGTAGTTCAAAAGTCCCTTTGTTTTATGAGCTTATTCGATAAATAGATAAGCTTTGCCTGAACCTACTGAAGTAGCCAAAAGTGGTGAAATTGGGTCCCATATGCTGGCATTCATAACAGCGCAGCTTACAGTTACAGAAGGAAATTTTACAGGGGTGCATGTGAGTTTTGCATCCTTAAGTTTTTATTCTTGTGGACAAAATATTTTCCAATTTTCTTGATCTTAACTTAATGGAAAAGTGATAGACTGGTTCACTTAGAGGAGATGGAATCTTGTATTCAGTCCGTAAGGGCTTTGTCACCAAGAGACAAGGTTGAGTAAAGGAACAAGTGTCAGTGTATGTCTCCTCCTAGGGTGTTTGTCTACCACATGCCTGTGCCTTAAGTCTTTACATAGGAGTTGCTTGTTGCATCATCAGGCCTGAGAGTCTATCTCAATGATAGAGACATTGCCTAGCATGCTCCAGGCCCAAGCTCAAACTTTGAGCCCTAGCCCTGCAAAATAACAAAAGGGACAAAATTTCAACATTGAAGTTTAGGCTTCAAAATAGTGGTTGTCATCTTAATGGCGATCTAGAATAACCACTAACAGAAGCCTCTGGGCATGTCTGTGATGGGTCATCTAGATTAGGTTAGCTCAAGTGGGAAGACCTCCCCTCTTAATGGACAGCACCATTCCATGGACTGGGGGGTCCTCGCTGCATGTGAAAATGAAAGTCATTCTTGACTCGTTCCTGGCTGGGGATGCCAGGTGAACCAGCCACTTCCAGCTCTTGCTGTCAAGCCTTTCCATGACGGTCTGTACCCAGGAACTGTGAACCACAATAAACCCTTCCTCAAGCCGCCTCCGTCACAGACTTTGTTCCAGCAACAAGACAAGTATCTAACATAGGCGAGCACTAAAGCATTTTCAACTTTGCAAAACTAAAATTGCACAAAACGATCTGAGTCATCATTTAGAGATAGGTGAACTGTGTTCCCTAGACTCCAAGGTTCTACCCATTAGAGATTTCTTAGAAGTTCTCTGGAAAGAATTGTGATTGCAAGCTGACAGAGAATTAGAGGATCGTGTGACAATAGAGACTATGATTTCATTAATTTTGTGTCCTCAACACCCAGCACAAGTCCTACATTCAGTAGTACAGTGAGTTGAAAAGAATCTGAAAATTAACCAAAATCTTACGATCCCACAGTCCTGTGCTTGTTCTCAGATAACCCACTTTAACATTACTTCAACAACACAAGCACTGAACAATTCCTAGTCTTTGGCCTACAAAGGCCCCATGATCTAATTGTTATACACCTTGTTTTATTCAGGATTCCTTAGAGTTGCAGAACTTATAAGATGAATGAGTGCATGGGTGTGTGTGTGTGTGTGTGTGTGTGTGTGTGTGTGTGTGTGTATAAAGGTAAAGGGGATTTATTAGAATGACTTACAGGCAGGCTATGGTCCATTTAGTCCAACAGTAACTGGCTGTGAATGGGAAGTCCAAGAATCCAGAAGCTGCTCAGTCCATGAGGTCAAATGTCACAGTTGGTCTTCGGTAGATGTTGGAATCTCGGAGAAGTAGGCTCTAATGCCAGTGAAGGAAGGGACTTGCTAGTAAGGCTAGAGTAAACAGTCAAAGAGCAAACACTTCCTTCTTCCACATCTTTATATAGACTTCCGGCACAAAGGTGCGGCCCAGATACGAGGTGTGTCTTCCTGCCTCAAGACCTACATTAAAGGTGTGTGCCTTGCCACCTCAAGATTCACATTAAAGGCAAGGGTCTTCTTGCCTCAGTATCTGGATTAGAAGTGACTCTTTCTACTTCAAATTAAGAAAAAAGAATCCCTCACCGGTGTGCCCCCCCATTTTCGAAGTTTAAATATAGTCAAGGTGACAAGCAATAATAGCTTCACACTCATGCTTTGACTGGATTTTTGAGACAAAATGGTGTATTCACTGTCCTCAGCCAGCTATGCTAGAACTTTCTCTTTTGAATGGAAACTGTGGGACAGCAGAACCATGGCCTGTTTACACCAGTTCAGATGGAATATAGTGCAATAGTACCCCAGCAAAATCAGCTATGCTAGCTTCAAAGTGTGTATAAAATAGTAAGATATGATATTAATCCATCAAAATTATTCTCCATGCTATGTTTATCCCTATAAAAGAAAAGCATATTCTCCAAGTCTTGAAGGAGTCTTCTGGTCTTCAGAAATAACCATGCCATGTGACTCAGCTCGTGTCATGCTTCCTCATTGCTGAGTCCACATGGAGTGTTTCATCAGGGATTTTGTCTTCTGTCCCTGCTAGAGGTGGAGGAAATGGGAGCTGCATTCAGCTTCCCTCTAGACTGCAGCTGTATATTAGAGACCTGGATTATCGTCGTAGATGTTTATAATCATTGTAGTTCCAATATGCAAAGATACTGCATTCGTTAGGGTTTCTTTTGCTGTGGTAAAACACCAGGACTGAAGGCTTTGGGGTGGAAAGGGCTTGCTGGGTATACACATCCTGAATCACAGTCCGTTGAGGGACTCCAAGACAGGAACTCAAACTAGGCAGGAGCTTGGAGACAGAGGCTGGTGCAGAGGCAATGGAGGAATGCTGCTTACTGACTTGCTCCTCATGACCTGCTCAACTGCTTTTTTATAAAACCCATGGACAGCCCAGGGGTCGTACCACTTACAATGAGATGGGCTCCCTCCAAAATAAGTCACGAATTTAAAAAATGCACTACAGACTTGCCTATAGCTCAATCTTTTTTTTATTAAAAAAAAAACCTATCTTTTCTCATTTTACATACCAATCCCAGTTCCCACCCTCTCCCCTCTTCCCGCTTCCTCCACCTTTCCCACCATTCCACCCCCATCCACTCCTCAGAGAGGGTAAGGCTACCCTTGGGGAGTCAACAAAGTCTAGTGCATTGCTTTAAGGCAGAACCAAGGCCCTCCCCACTATATCTAGGCTGAGCAAGCTATCCCACCAAAGAGAATAGATTCCAAAAGACTTGTACAAACAATAGGGATAAATTCTGGTCTCACTGCCAGTGGCCCCACAGTCTGCCCCACCCACATTCAGAGGGCCTAGTTTGGTCCTATGCTGGTTCCCTCACTGTCAGGCCAGAGTTGGTGAGCTCCCATTAGCTCAGGTAAGCTGTTTCAGTGGGTGTACCCATCATGGTCTTCACCTCTTTGCTTGTGTTCTCATTCCTCCCACTCTTTGGGAGCTTAGCTCAGTGCTCCGCTATGGATCTCTGCCTCTGTTTCCATCAGTTGTTGGATGGAGGTTCTACAGTGATATTTAAGATAGTCATCAATCTGACTACCGGGCAAGGCCAGTTCAGGCACCCTCTCCACTATTGCTTAGGGTCTCAGCTGGGGTCATCCTTGTGGATTCCTGGGAATTTATCTAGTGCCAGGTTTCTTGCTAACCCCATAATGGCTCCCTCAACCAAGATAGTCCT